AGAGATTCAAACCCCGCCTGAATGAGGTCCTGTGCAGCCTGCTGTAGGTGACCCTGCTTTGGCAGGGGGTATGGACTAGATGACCCACAGAGGTCCCTTCCAACCCCAAACGTTCTGTGATTCTGTGATTAAAGATCTAAATAGTGTTGACCACTCCCCAAACTGGCTGATGATGAGCAATGCTTACCTAACACTTAACATTTTTTTTTTTTTTTTAAAGTCGTATTACTAAAAAGAGTGAGGATAGAGGTAGGCTCCTTATGTGATAAGGAAACATACTGAACCCAAAAACTAAAGGAGCACTTTGATATCAAGATGTTTATACTGGAAGTGGTAGTCAAGCCAGAATGCTTGCTAGATATGAGGAATGCTCTACTGCAGGAGAAGCTACATTAAAGGAATATAAAGTGCTGAAGTTAGACAGAGGGTAGTTTGTGAACTGAAACTATGAAAGAGCTGGTACAGGAAATCATCCCTTCACTCTTCACTATATTTACTGCTGTAACTTTGGGTTGGGTGTTGCAGGAGGGGGAGTAGAATGTAGTAGATACATCTAAGAAGTAGGAAGGGAGGCGGTCAGGAGCTGTTAGTTTGATCTCACTAGTGTTTAAGGTTTTTTAAATAAATTAGAAGAGAATATTTAAAGTCATGAGATAAAAGGAAAATTTAATAAAATAGAACACACATTATCAAAGGTAGATTTGCCAGACTATGTTAACGTCTGTGTGTAATGAGAATTCATTTTCTAAACAAAACCTAGTGCAGATGACCTGCCTTGATTTCAGTAAAGCATTTGACATATGTCCCATGGGAAAGAACTTGTGAAGATGGAGATCAGGGTCAGCAGAAGAGCTACAAGGTGGCTGAGGGACCTGTTGAGGCCCAGGGGAGGTACTCATCTGGAAGCGAGTTTTTTAATATCTTCCTTCATGGTAAAAGAGGATGTGATCCTAGGATGCGCTGGTGGAGATAGAAGAAGTAAGTATATCATCATACAAGCTCATGTGAAATGGTTATCCACGTCAGAGATGTGCTTTCTGACCAGTGTGGGACGTCATGCCTTGACGTCAGAGCTGCGTGTACAGCTCCCTGTTTGCCCTGTAAGAAGTGGTGTAGGGGGAAAGATGGCTGCCTGCTTGCCTTGCCCGGCTTTTGCCTTGCCAGCACCAGAGAGTGGGAGGCAGACTAATTTCCACATCTTTGAGTAGACCTGCCTATTTCACCTGACAGTTATTTGCTTGTAATGTATTATTTTCTAAATGGTATTTGTATTGCAATAAACCCAGCTTTAAGCCACAGAAACTCCTAGTTTCTTTCCACAGAGAAAAAGTGAGAAGTTCCTGGATACTTGACTTGACCTTTGTCTTGGCACCAAAAAATTGAAAAGATGCTGACTGGAGTCTGCTGACAAGAGGTGTGTGGTTGCTGTCGATGCATTTGAGAGTTATACACAAAAGGAGAACTAAGTAATAAAAGGGTAAAATCTAAGATTTGAGCCAGTGAGTATAACTGAGCTGGAGATGCTTGTAAAGCCTAATGAGAATTATATAATTATTTTTTTCAAACTGCAAAAGTAACAACAGTTTGGAACCTTTTCCACTGAGAACAGGAGAACAAGAAACCTAACTTTCTTTTAAGATAAAGTGTTTCCTTTAGTGCATGCTCAAGCTGAATGACCTCTAACTTCCTAAGACCGTTTGTTTTTTCTCCCCTCAGAAATCAAAATATGAGAGTAGGTGACAGCAGAGAATGGAATGCAGCTATTGCGGTTTTATTGTCTGATGAAGATCATTCTACGAAAGAAAATAAAAGAGGATCAGTGAACTCCCTGGATGGGTCCTCTCTGTCATACAGTTACCCAAGAAAGGCTTTCAGCAGTGGAGGAGGCAGCAGTTGGGCAGCCTTCGTAAAGAGGTGCTCTGGAAGACAGGCATTAGAATGGGCTTTGGGGTGAGTAGCTGAATGCTCAAAACTCTCTGCTTTCTTCACGTGGACTAGAGGAAGGCTTTTTCTGTCAGATTTAGTGAAGAATTGGGCCTTTCGGATGGATGGCAAAAGGGGTACTGATTTTGCTGGATTTGGGCTGATTTCAGCTGGTGGTGCAGAGGAAGCGATGTGCAAAAGTCTATCAGTCATGCTGGCTGTTAAGGCAGCGGCTGATGGAATCCTTTGTACTTTCAGAGCACTACCTATACTTTTTAAATCTTGCACTAGCACACAGTGAAATTAGTAGAAAGGACTCTCTAGGTTTGGTCTTGATTTGGAAGAAGCTGCTTTTCACATCTGTTTTAATACATTAGAAAAAATGAGGGGACAGAAAAAATTAAGGAGATGTGTGTCCATGTGAAATACAGCAGTGAGCAGCTGGAAAATGCTAGAATAGCCTTTTGTTCAGCATTTTGTTGATCTATGGCAGTTTTCGTGGGAGATAACAAAACACTCAGATCTGATTGCCTGTGTTCAAGGTCACCTGTTGATGTTGCTTTGCACAAAGTAAATCCAAGATACGCATGTATTAATCCTCTGTGGAAAAAGTTGCCTCCTAAGTGAGGTTAGCATTGACCAGAAACATGCTAGTTCAATTTTGTGGTTTGATTACTGCCTAAATTTTCTAAATCTTGTCCCATCACGCAGTGAAGCTTGTATAAAGAACTATGTAGATTCAGTCTTGACTTTGAAAGAAGCTGCTTTTGGGCTGGTCATAGCTACTTGAGTAGGTGCTGTGCTCAGCGGAGGTTGTTACGAACCTTGAATAGCCAGAAGTATTGCTGATTACTGCTGGTACAGTTTTGGGGTTTTTTTTTAAGGGTTAAATGTGTGTTTTATACTGTATTCCTGTATGCACATTAAAAAAATACAAGTTCTGTCCCAGGCAGTTCTTTGAGCACCTCAGTTAAGTCTAAATGCATGGGACGCAGTTCTGAGTGAGGGAGAGTGAAGAAAGCTCACTGGAGAGGATTAAGATCTCCATCTGTTAAGTTTGCACTGATGATAAAACACATGCTCCCAGTTGGAACAAGATGCATTAAAAGAGCAATTTCACTTCTACTGCCTAGCAACAATGTCATTGAGCACCTGCAATAGTTTAAACATTAAGCATAATTGGCTTTGCTTGACATAAATCTGTAGTTTTGTAAATAAGAGCAGTTGAGTTTCCATGTAATACCAATTAGCTATAAGGAATGCTTTGTTTGCTGAAGCCTGCAGCTTTGCAGAGGAAAGAGGGAGTTGTTAAGACTCAGCGGTAGTAGTTAGGAGGTAGAACCCAGATCAGACATTACATAGGCTTTGAGTGTCCTTGTGCAAGTTATTTAATCTGTTTCAGTCAGGTTCCCTAGGTATGAAGGGAAGAATAACATTCAGACCTCTTTTTTCGTAAAGAACCCTGACTGTATCTGATTAAAATACCTTGGAGGTAATTTTACAGCATTAAACTGAGCTGCCTGGGTCTGTGCTGGATTTCTTTTCCTTTCTTTTAGTTGGAGCTACTATTGCACCTTCAAAGTTCTTGTAAATTTTCTAGAATTGCTTGCTTTCTACCAGTGATGGAAGAGGCAGGCGTGTGACCCACTTGATATGAAAATCAGTCTCGTTCATCTTCTGTGGGAATTCTGAGTTGGAAAGATGACGCAGGAGAACGCCTTGCTTGTGGTCCTAGAGCAGAGCTGCAGAGCAGAACTAAAGCTTTTGGACTTCAGCTTGGTGTCTGTTTCCTATAACATGCACTAGATTTACCGTAGCAAGGGCAAATACAGCTACCTTTCAGAGGACGTTTTGAAAGTCTGCTTTTATTT